CCCTGGAGGTTTCTGGAGGCCCCTGGATGCCCCTTGAAGTCCCAGGAGGCTCCTTGGATGTGTGCATAGGTCGGTGGAGTTCCCTGGAGGCTTCTAAAGGCCTCCTGAAGGTCAATAAAGGCCCCTGGAGGTCTCTGGAGGCCCCTTGGAGGTCTCTGGAGGCCCCTGGAGGCCCTTGGAGGTCATCTGGAGGTCCTTGGAGACCCCTAAAGGACTCCTAAAAGTCCTTAAAGGCTCCTGGAGTTCCCTGGAGGCCATCTAAATGTCCCTGGAGGTCCCTTGAGGCCCCTGGAGGTACCTTGAGGCCCTTGGAGGTCCCTGGTGGCCCCTGGAGGTTTCTGGAAGCCCCCTGAGGCCCCTGGAGGTCCCTGGAGGCCCCTTGAGGTTTCTGGAGGCCACTAGGATGTCCCTGAAGGCCCCCTAGAGGCCCCTTATGGTCCCTTGAGGTCTCTAGAGGCCTCTAAAGGCCTCCTAGAGGTCCCTAAAGGCCCCCTGGAGGTCCCTGGACATCCCTGGAGGGCCACCTGAATGTCCCTGGAGACCCCTAAAGGCCTCCTGGAGGTCCCTAAAGGCCCCTAGAGGTTCCTGGAGGCCACCTTATTGTCCTTGGAGGTCCCTTGAGGCCCATGGAGGTCCCTGGAGGCTTTTGGATGTGCCCTGGAGGTCCTAAGAGGCCCTTAAAGGCCTCCTGGAGGTCTCTAAAGGTCCCTGGAGGTCCTGGAGGTATCTTAGAAGCCCTTTGAGGTCCCTGGAGGCTCCTGGAGGTCCCTGGAGGCCCATGGATGTCGCTGGAGGCCCCTGGAGACCCCTTGGAAATCCCTGAAGGACCCTTGAGGCCCCTGGATGCCCCTTGAAGTCCCTGGAGGCTCCCTAGATGTTTGTGGAGGTCTCCTGGAGTTCCCTGGAGGCCCCTAAAGGCCTCCTTGAGGTCACTAAAGGCCCCTGGAAGTCCCTGGAGGCCCCTGGAGGTCCCTGGAGGCCCCTGGGGGTTACCTGAATGTTCCTGGAGGTCCATTGAGGACTCTGGAGGACCAAGGAGGTCTCTAGAGGCCCTTGGAGGCCCCTTGAATGTCCCTGGACGCCCCTGGATGTCCCTGGACGCCCCCTAGAGGCCCCTTGAGGTCCCTGGAGGCACCTGGAGGTCTCTGGAGGGCCCCCTGGATGTCCCTGGAGGTCCCAGGAAGACCCTGGAGGCGCCTTAAGGCCCCTTAAGGTCCCTGGAGGACCCCCTGGATGTCCCTGGATGCCCCTTGAGGTCCCTGGAGGCACCTGGAGGTCTCTGGAGGTCCCCTGGATGTCCCTAGAGATTCCAGGAGGACCCTGGAGGCCCTCTAGATGCCCCTTAAGGTCTCTAGAGGCCCCTTAAGGTCCCTGGAGGACCCTGGAGGTCCATGGAGGCCCCTGGAGACCCCCTAAAGGTTCCTGGAGGCCCCTGGAGGTCCCCCTGAAATTTTCTGGAGGTCTCTGGAGGTCCCTTGAGGCCCCTGGAGGTCTCCAGAGGCCCACAACATGTCCCTGGAGGCCCACTAGAGGCCCCTTGAGGTCCTTGGAGGCCCCTGAAGGTCTCTGAAGGCCCCTAGGATATCCCTGGAGGCCCTCTAGAGGCCCCCTTGAGGTCCCTGGAGGTGTCTGGAGGTCCTCTGGAGGTCTCTGGAGACCCCGAAAGGCCTCCTGGAGATCTCTAAAGGCCCCTGGAGGTCCCTGAAAGCCCCTGGAGGTCCCTGGAAGCCCCTGGAGGCCACCTGAATGTCCCTGGAGACCTCTAAAGTCCTCCTGGAGGTCCCTAAAGGCCCCTGGAGGCCCTTGGAGGCCACCTGAATGTCTCTGGAGGTCCCTTGAGGCCCCTGGAGGTCCCTGGAGGTTGCTGGAGGCCCCTTGGAGGTTTCTGGAGGCCCCTGGAGGTCTCTGAAGGCCCCTAGGATGTTCCTGGAGGCCCCCTAGATGCCCCTTTAAGTCCCTTGTGGCCCCTGGAGGTCCCTGGAGGCCCTTGGATGTCATCTGGAGGTCCCTGGAGGCTGTAAAGTCCTTCTGGAGATACCTAAAAGTCCCTGGAGGTTCCTGGAGGCCCCGTAGAGGCCCCTTGAGGTCCCTGGAGGCCCCTGGAGGCCCATGAATGTCCCTGGAGGCCCCTGGAGACCCCTAAAGGTTCCTGGAGGCCCTCCTGAAATTCCCTAGAGGTCTCTGGAGGCCCCTGGAGGTCCCTTGGATGTCCCTGGAGGTCTCTTTAGGCCCCTGGAGGTCCATGGAGGTCCCTGGAGGCCCCTGCATAATTATTAACTATTATCTTCCCTTAACAGGCATCACATTATCTGAAAGGGAACTACACTAAAGGGAAAATTTACTTCACCAGAAAAAATTAAGTAGCCCAGTAGAAGTTAGTATAAAAATTTGGTACACAAATGCAGATGGCATTACAAAGAGTATAACAAGTAGAGTAGTTCTTGCAGGGTACAGCAGCAACAACAGGTGGCAGAACTGCATCATCATCATCACATTTAGAGACAAAACTGACAAATGTAATAGAGGATACAATATTCCCAAGAGAATACCAGGTAAAAAAGGAAAGAATTAACAAGGAAGGGGGGCTGGAGGAGTAGCCCTGCTGACAAAGATTCCAGAGGTAACCAACCAGCAAGATTTCATACAAGGTATGATAACAGTGAGGACAAAGATAGTGGCATGTGTTATTTGCAACCCATTAACTACAACAAAGTGAATGATAAATGCAATGAAACATGTCTGAAGATAATACAAAAAGTGGCCACAGTGGCAAGGAGGGCCAGAGCAAAGTTCCTAATACTTGGGGATTTGACCACAGGGAAATAGACTGGACACCAAAGAATCCTCATTTGGGAGATGAAACAGGGACCAAGATTTATGGATACTACGAACACCTCCTGAGGCAGCATATTAAGTAGCTGACATGAGAAAGTACAGTATCTACCAGGTACCATATACCATAGACCTGGTGTTTACCCAAAATGAAAATGTAGAGAACTTAAAATATGAGTTAGCACTACGAGCCAGAAATATAAAGAAACAACCTAAGCTGTTGCACAGCCATTTGCAGAGGAAATCAATAGTCCAAGACCATGTGGTCAGACTGTAGAGACAGGGAGGAACTCTCTTTGAGACTGAAGAAAGTGTGTAAAGAGCTTGACAATAAGTTCAGCAGGCCTACAATCTGGAACCAAATTGGTGGCCATGTAGGGTTGACAGCAGATGACCAGAAACAACACTGGAAAGAACTGAAGCTAATGTAGAACGAGGTAAAAAGTCACCCGAAGGATTGATGTATTAAATCTGGGAGAAGGCAAATGTAGTTCCTATAGTCAAGAAAGGGAACCAACATGAAGCACTAAACTGTAGACCATGTGTCATTAACATGCATTCCATGTAAGATTCTATAAAAAATCATCAGATACGCAGTGCAGCTTCAGAATGAAAATCACACTTACCAAACTTGACTTATTTTGGTGACTCTGCCATAGAATTAAGAGAGAAGATAGAATATGTAAAGTGTATCTTCCCAGACTGCAAAAAGTTTTTTATACAATTCCTCATGAAAGACTCATACTGTACACAAGATCAAGAGACAAGTAGGGATAACAGGAAAGGCACTGGACTAGATATAAGAGTACTTGAAGGGCCGGAAACAAAGGGTCATAGTCAGAGACAGTATGTCAGAACTCTGTCCTACAACTTTAGTGCATCGGGTAAAAACAGCTAGGTGGTTATATCTTGGTTATCTTGAGATGATTTCAGGGCTTTTTTTAGTGTCCCCGCGGCCCGGTCCTCGACCAGGCCTCCACCCCCAGGAAGCAGCCCGTGACAGCTGACTAACACCCAGGTACCTAATTTACTGCTAGGTAACAGAGGCATAGGGTGAAAGAAACTCTGCCCATTGTTTCTCGCCAGCACCTGGGATCAAACCCAGGACCACAGGATCACAAGTTCCACGTGCTGTTCGCTCGGCCGACGTGGTGGGGCATAAAGAGGTACAGTTCACTTCCCTGTAGTCGCTGATAAGATAAACATTGGTAACCAAATCCTTGAACACTTTCTCAATGTCCATGCAATGAAGAAACCTGAAAACTTCAGAAGGTGTTAAACTTTGATGTTTAACAGTGTTCATATGCAGAGCTTAGGAAGACAAACCCTGAAACAGACTAAAAACCTAAAAACACTAAAGGTAACTATTGCACACATTCATGAAACGTAATGAGCAAGCACTCTGAAAGCATGGATGCAGTCCAAAAATAGGCTGACCAAGTGAAGAGCCGGGATGCCATAAGCACAATCTGAGAACACTGTATAAACATCAGAGATCCGCGGTTGGTCAACATCCTCCCAGCGAGTATAAGAACGATGTTGGATCTCTGTTCCAGCAACAGAAGGTTGCTGGAACAACCGTGGACATCTTCAAAAGAAAATTAGATAGTTTTCTTCAAGAAGTGCCGGACCAACCACACTGTGGTGGATATGTGGGCCTGTGGGCCACTCCAAGTAACAGCTTGTTAGACAAAGCTCTCACAAGTCAAGCCTAGCCTCGAGCTGGGCTTGGGGAGTAGAAGAACTCCCAGAACCCCATCAAGCAGGTATCATTATTTCTTACTGTACAAGGTCCAGGAGCTATAACTATCAATGGGGGAGTTATAGGTAAGAGGTGTGGTGGTCACCTCCCTAGAGCTCCAGGAAACTTCGACTACCACCTTGTAGCAATGGTAAGAATTTGATTGCGAGGCCTTATTAGTTACAGAATGTTGACTAGTTTGGCAATCTCCAAACATAGTTGCTCCCATAATCATGCAAGTTGATGTGAAATAGTGCTTGATTCTGTTGTGCAGAGATTGTAACAGGAGCCCAAAATACTGACAGTGACACTGAAGTGCCAGTGCTCTGGCCAGTCATTCATGGGGCCAGTGCAGAAATGGAACACAGATGATTCATGGGTCATTATCTATTGGTGATTGGTAAATAAATTTATTGTATATAATTACCTCTGCTCCTGAATACCCAGCTGTTACTCCACTCAGCTTTTCTATGTCCACCTGGCCCTTCAGTGGTATATTCTGGAGTATGCCCTTCCAAATTTCACATCGTGAGTTATAATCAGGCAAGTCTATGTGAATAACTTGTTCAAGACAGTTAGGTCTCAGTACAGCCTGAAACACAAAACAAATGAGGTCCTCATGACAGTAATCCACATTGCAAAATAAATTATCTAAACCCTGCAATTTTTTTATTTTTATTCCAGAGCCTCAAACAGCAAATACAGTTTTCAGTTTGTATTTATAGCTAAAATCTAGAATTTCAATATTTTCAGCCAACCAAACTTTTTGCATTGCTCACATATAGTTGAATTTTTAAATTGATACAGAAGTGGGATGTTTTACATACCTAATTCTTTTTATCAGTTGTCAATGTTTACAACCAATGTGAATTCAGGTCCAATTGATATTAGCAGATTAATTAGCAATAAATTAATTTTTGCCATTTTGAGCAGCTAACACTAACAAAAATTAACAGGAAGAGTTCAGTGACAATACCACCTGTGCCACCTTGATAATCCTCATCCTGATCTACAACTTTTATTTTCAAACTAAAATAATCACCAGTTTAATTTTATTCTGACTGCCTAGATCAATATTCCTAAGCTCATCATGATCTATCATTGTCATTTAATCATAAATATCTTTATACTGTCAGTCTATGGGTTATCCACACTCTTGACTAATGATCCAATCTTATTACCTCATCTATTGCATGAGGTCTGTTAGTTGCTCCAATGACCATCACATTTCCTAGAGTTGCATTCTGTGCCATCAGGGAGAGGAGCTCTGACACAAGACCACCGCCTCCTCCACGATCACCACACAAACTGTCCACTTCGTCCATAAATATGATTGAAGGTGCTGCTTGCCATGCTCTGCTGAAAACTTTGCTCAGGGACTTCTCTGTTTCTCCAACATATTTTGATAACAGATCTGAACACTGTAAATGTAATATAATTTGAAACAAATAAACTAATACAACATAAACTAGCAAGTGACTTTAATATTTAATTTTCCAAAATCATAACTAGATATGGTTCACCGAAGAAGAAATGTCCCAAAAATATGGCTGCAATCTTTACTGTAACCGAGATTTTTTAATAAAATTTTTTGATAAAAATATAATATAAGTAATGAAGAAGAAAAATTTAGGTTGCTTAGGAGTAAACATTTTTTATTCCAGTATCAATAATTTCTAGAATGATTATGCCATGAACCTCCAAAAACCAGATCATCATACAATGGATTCCTTAAAATAATGAACCAGATCACCCTCTAAAATTCAGATTTACCTCAGAAAAAATCCAAATTCCAGAAGGACTCGTAAAACCCAGTTTGTAAATTAAAGAAATTTCCAGCAAATCACATTTTTGACCATTTTATTGAAAATCTTGAGTTGGAGAGTTTTTGATCAAGGAAAAGTTAATGTACCTGGTTTGAAAAAGACCATGGCGAGATTTCATTTTGAAAGTGAAGAGCTTTTCTGTTAGAACTGAAAATTGACCTATATCTCAAATACTGGTTTTATAAGACTAATAACAAATGTCAGAAAATCTTGACTGAAAAACTGAAATCATATAGCAAATATCGATGAGTTTCATTCAATAGATATTAGAGTTTGACCCAGTGGAAATGTCAGAAATGGTATTCTAAAAATGGTTAGGACACTATATCAATTATTAATTACTGTACTTTGGGTTCCCAAATGGTTTCATACAAAATAATGAGATGAAGAAAGGGTCTTGGACACTGGAAAGTAGATGGTCTTGATTTATTTACATTTGCATCCCTAAATGGTACCTACAGTACTATACTTTAATTTTGGTCAGAAAGCATTTTTAAAGACTTTAATAGATGGGTTATGAGCTATAGATGTAATTAAGAGCTATACTGTAGCTGGTTCTAGAAAGCCATACCTTGAGGCTGCCTGGAGATAGTTTGGAGGATCAATGTCCCTGCAGCCTGATCTCTAACCAGGTCTCCTGGTTGGTGTTCTGATGCTCGTAGTCTGACATATGAATCATGTCAGACTGCAAGCATTCATTCATATCGAATGAGCTGACATCATTCATACGTTAGTCTGACATATGAATGATGTTAGACTGACCTCCAAATGATGCCTGGTTGATCAGGCATCATTTGATGGTGTTTATCAAGGTCTCCTTTGAACACAGAGATAGGCATAGTTAAAATAAAATTCTATGGATTATTTTCAATGAGCCCAGATATCGGGCCATTACGTTATCTTGAAAAATAAGGCTTAGATGCCCTGATGTATGTAATTGAAACTTGGGCATGTGGAAATGAACTTTGAGAAATCCAGCAGGGATAAATATATGGGATGGGTATGGCAATGAGAAAGTACAGAGAGATGAAATATGGAACTGTAGGATGGGTAAAGGTATATACACAGGTGGTATGACTGTGTTCGTAGAATAGCCGAGTCGTTCGATGAGAAGTGTACAAGGATGAAATAAAGGGATCATATGGTAGAAGTAGACAACCAGTATTTTGAAAAGGAAGAGTAGAACAATATATGAAGGGAAGACTCAGAAACCTTGAAAGAACGGTTTGTGTGTGGTGTTAGAGCTTCCTGGAGAAACTTCTGCTGTGGCCAACCCTTGATGGGGAGCTTCCGTGAAGAAGTAAGGCTACAAATACCGTAAACAAATTTTTGCACACCATGAGCCCAGGGATAAGTCTGGGGCTGACAACTCTTGACTAACCTGCTTAATAGGTGGGACATATGGGCTTCGGAACATTGAGAGCACTGATCTGGGCTGAAAAAATACTATCAGATGAGACGACGGAAAACCATCAAATGTTGTAACTTGGCCTTACTCTGGCATTCAGCCTATTCTGGCCTTACTCTGGCATGCAGCCTATTCTGGCCTTAATCTAGTATTCAGCCTATTCTGGCCTTACTCTGGTATTCAACCTATTCTGGCCTTACTCTCACATTCAGCCTATTCTGGCCTTACTCTCACATTCAGCCTATTCTGGCCTTACTCTGGCATTCAGTCTATTCTGCCCTTACTCTGGCATTCAGCCTATTCTGGCCTTACTCTGGCATTCAGCCTATTCTGGCCTTACTCTAGCATTCAGCCTATTCTGGCCTTACTCTGGCATTCAGCCTATTCTGGCCATACTCTAGCATTCAGCCTATTCTGGCCTTACTCTGGCATTCAGTCTATTCTGCCCTTACTCTGGCATTCAGCCTATTCTGGCCTTACTCTGGCATTCAGTCTATTCTGGCCTTACTCTAGCATTCAGCCTATTCTGGCCTTACTCTGGCATTCAGCCTATTCTGGCCTTACTCTAACATTCAGCCTATTCTGGCCTTACTCTGGCATTCAGCCTATTCTGGCCTTACTCTGGCATTCAGCCTATTCTGGCCTTACTCTCACATTCAGCCTATTCTGGCCTTACTCTGGCATTCAGCCTATTCTGGCCTTACTCTGGCATTCAGGCTATTCTGGCCTTACTCTGGCATTCAGCCTATTCTGGCCTTACTCTGGCATTCAGCCTATTCTGGCCTTACTCTGGCATTCAGCCTATTCCAGCCTTACTCTGGCATTCTGCCTATTCTGGCCGTACTCTGGCATTCAGCCTATTCTGGCCATATACTTACAATCATCCAATTCTTACTTTTCTCTTACCTGCTTCTCACCTCTCATCTTACTTTTTCCTTACATTTGCCTGTACCTTCCTCTCTTCTGTTATACAACTCTTCTGTTGGACCAAAGAGCCGAAGCTCAACTCCCTCAAGCACAACTAGACGAGTACAACTTGACAATGGTCCAGAACAAACCAAATCATTGTCGTTTCTTCCCTTTCTGACGTGTGGTTTGGTCGTCATATCTTCAGCCATGTTATTAAGACACATCGTCTGCTCAGTTAAATTTGCTCAGCACTACCAATGCGTGAATTTGGTAAGCAAACACAACCAGGCACCCATTCATAGCATGTGAAGTACTATTCTGGTAAGCCTGGTGAGACCTTGGAGCTAGGCACAACCCAGAGGGAAGGGAGAAGAAAATTATCATGAAGGAAAGCACTGACAATTCTCCAGAGGAAAGAGCCCTTTCGTGACTCTCTACCATCTTTAATGACTCTACAAGGATATTTGAGAAGGTCCCTGTGGTGCCAGTGCTTGCATGTCGCCCTACCTGATACTGTATGATAGTAGACATATGACAAAGGAGAGCTTACCTTAGAGAGCAACTAAATATGACAGCTAAGAAATTAATTTCTTTTGTTTGCATATATTTTAGTTTCAAGCATGTTGTTGGATGGTATGGAATAGAAGGTAGTTTGAGTAGAAGTGCATGAAGATGTCACCACATTGCACTTCAAATGTTTTACTAACTATACCTTTCTACAAACTGTTACTTCAAATAGATAAAACACAGCTCACCTTAAGTGGGAAGAAACTAAAACTTGTTTCTTGGACCAGTGCTCGAACAAACATAGTCTTTGAGCATCCAGGAGGCCCATAGAGAAGAAGACCCTTCAACAGATGTTTCTGGGGATTGCTTGCATGTAGTTGAATCATTGCCTAAAAATTAAATTTAACATTAGACACAAATGCAATTTTTAATAGAAACAATGAATAGTCTATTCTAAAGGAAATTTATCCAGAATTCTCCAAAATCTTCAACCCCCTTCCTCCCAACTAGCCCCACAGTACTACTACACCCACCCACCCACCCACACCACAGATGAGGTCACTACCTTTAAAATTCTCACAGGAATTGACAGAGTAGATAAAGATAAACTGTTTAACATGGGTGGTACGCGAACAAGGGGACACAGGTGGAAACTGAGTACCCAAATGAGCCACAGGGATGTTAGAAAGAACTTTTTCAGTGTCAGAGTAGTTAACAGATGGAATGCATTAGGCAGTGATGTGGTGGAGGCTGACTCCATACACAGTTTCAAATTCAGATATCATAGAGCCCAGTAGGCTCAGGAATCTGTTCATCAGATGATTAACAGATGAGAGGCGGGACTAAAGAGCCAGAGCTCAACCCCCGCAAATACAATTAGGTGAGTACCAACACAGGATTAAGACAGAGGAGGACAGCTTGAGGCTTCAAGAAGACCTAGACAAACTGCAGGAATGGTCGAACAAATGGTTGGTAGAGTTTAACCCAAGCAAATGTAATGTAATGAAGATAGGTGTAGGGAGCAGGAGACCAGATACAAGGTATCATTTGGGAGATGAAATACTTCAAGAGTCAGAGAGAGAGAAAGACTTGGGGGTTGATATCACACCAAACCTATCCCCTGAAGCCCATATCAAGAGGATAACAGCAGCATATGCCAGGTTGGCCAACATAAGAACAGCCTTTAGAAACTTGTGTAAGGAATCATTCAGAACTTTGTATACCACATATGTCAGACCAATCCTGGAGTATGCAGCCCCAGCATGAAGTCCATATCTAGTCAAGCATAAGACTAAATTGGAAAAGGTTCCAATGTTTGCCACCAGACTAGTACCCGAACTGAGGGGTATGAGCTACGAGGAGACACTACGGGAATTAAACCTCACATCACTGAGAGACAGAAGAGTTAGAGGAGACATGATCACCCACATACAAGATTCTCAGAGGAATTGATAGGGTACATAAAGACAGACTATTTAACACAAGAGGCACATGCACTAGGGGACACAGGTGGAAATTGAGTGCCCAAATGACCCATGGAGACATTAGAAAGAATTTTTTTTAGTGTCAGAGTAGTAGACAAATGGAATGCATTAGGAAGTGATGTGGTGAAGACTGACTCCATACACAGTTTCAAGTGTAGATATGATAAAGCCCATTAGGCTCAGGAACCTGTACACCAGTTGATTGACAGTTGAGAGGCGGGACCAAAGAGCCAGAGCTCAACCCCCTGCAAGTACATCTAGTAAATACAACTCGGTAAGTTCAACTAGGTACTACTACTAGGTACTACTACTAGGTACTACTACTAGGTTCAACTAGGTACTAGGTACAACACTACTACTACACCCACCCACCAACACACTACTACACACAATTTTCTAGGAACAGTACGTGGGACTGAATTCCACATCAAAACTTAAAAAAAATACAAAATTTCTCTACAATTAATTAACTCTTAACATATTTAACTAAAATATTAAACATTTGGCTTACTTGTAACTTTGATTTGACTGTTTGGTATCCCCATATGTCAGACCATTTCACCTGTCAAATAGAAATTAACATTACAGTCGGCATTAAGAAAATACAATATATATACATACATACAAGTGAATATGCTTGCTGACATCATCTGGCTGTCTTCTACTTTCAAATGAGTGAGGAGGAAAATATGCATGAAGGGAGAGGAAAATATGCAGTACAATACATATGAAAAACCACACTGAGTTAATACTGTTATATGCCCATACAGTTTTATCATTAGAGAAAAAACACATCAGTATTTCAAACAGTTTCATGGTGGATTGATATATTACTTAAAGCATTCGAAGAATAAAAAATTCTTAATACATACCTTTTTATTCAAATTGTATAAAATAAGGTTAATAATCGAATTATGTTAACTACCTGTAGTTGTTTGCTACCCCCTAAATGTAATTACAGTACTGTACTATATTTGCTTTCCAGCACCTAAATCTATTTGCACAATTTACAGTGAAAGAAATAATTACTAAAACTAATGTTTTTAAATAACTAGCATAAAACCTTACCGTGGACACTGCCGAGTAATTCTGTCTCAACATGGTCGGCACAACACCATGCAAGCCAGCAAGTAAATCTTCTTTGGATAGATAAAGGTCTTCTGTCTTCTGCCGTTGAAGTAAATTACTCTGGAGGTGCAGAAAAGTAATAAATAGCAATTCTCTTGGAGTTGTCGTGTAATATATAAATAGCTCAACCCGTTATCAATCCCATGCATGTTCCCAATGTAAAGACTATCATAAATTCAGTACAACAAATAACCATACAGTGATGAGGTACCAAAGGAGATGATTCACCAAATCGTTCCACACATCTAAGCCAAGCGCATCTAAGCAGAACACTTAAGTCAGCTCCAGAAAATCCATATGCTTGTCTGGCTACTTCTGCAACTTCCTCTTTACTAATCTGATGCTTATGGGATGACAGCAATTGGTGTAATAAGTCCTGCCTTTGATGTGTGTTTGGCAATGGCACCATCAACTCTTTATCAAGTCTACCAGGGCATCGTAACTTGGGGTTAACACCATCGGGTAGGTTGGTGGCAGCCACCAACAGAACTGGATGTGGAGCTGTCTGTAAACAATATAATTTCATTTGAATCTAAGAAGCCTACATGTCCTGGGTAACAGGTGAATGAAGATATGATCATTACACACAGAAATCACAATTGCGTGATGCATCAAATGAACAAATCCACAAGGGCCGTGACAAGGATTCGAACCTGCGTCCGAGAGCACCCCAGACACTGCCTTAATCGACTGAGCTACAACATGGTAAAAGAGGTTTCAACTCTTTTACCATGTCGTAGCTCAGTTGATTAAGGCAGCGTCTGGGATACTCTCGGACACAGGTTCGAATCCTCGTAACGACCCTTGTGGATTTGTTCAAGATTTGATCATCTTACTGTGTTGAAAAAGAATTTTCCCTTGACACATTATCACTAAAAGATACCCATCAACTTTGTCTCCTCATGCAGTTGAGGAGTCACAATAACATGGCTGAAAAATGTTGACCAAATCACACGGTAGAAAGTGAAGAGATGATGACGTTTCGGTCCGTCCTGAACCATTATCAAGTCGATTGTGCCATTATCCGACCTGGACCATTTTCACAATCGACTTGATAATGGTCCAGGACAGACCGAAACGTCTTCATCTCTTCACTTTCATCGTCATCTCTTCCAGGATTATCAAGTCGATTGTGAAAATGGTCCTGGATGGATAATGGCACAATCGACTTGATAATGGTTCAGGACGGACCGAAACGCCGTCGTCTCTTCACTTTCTAGCGTGTGGTTTGGTCAACACCTTTGTCTCCTCATTTGAATAAGTGAACAAATTAAAGCAATGTGGGTGTTGTTTTTCCACAATTATTGATTAAATTAAGTATTGATTAAAGGCTTATGATAATTATTTCAAATAAATTAAAATGCCTAGAAAAAGCAACATCTGATCAAGTGGTTGGCAAAGCTTTCTTTAATGGAGTATAAGGATAAACAGGAAAATATTGTGTAAAGCATACAGTCAAAAGTTAGAGGATGAAAACAGAAGTCAAAAGAAGTAAAAAAATTATGTATGAATAGGTAAAATGCTTTTTAGACAATATAGGAGTACATGTGAAGCCAAGAAATTAGGAGAATAATGAGAGATTTGACAGATATAAATAAAATAATAAATAGTGAATAACTGTAGGGATCCACTGCTTGCATTCAGTTTAAATTTTATAATCCATTCATCTTTATTTTATTTTTATTTTTGTATTTATTTATATATACAAGAGTTCTTCCAGTCTTGTACAGGAACTAGCATGCATAGCATTTCAGGCAAGTCCTTACTCATATTTTTTCCCAGAATACCACCCACCAAATCGTTTAACAACCAGGTACCCATTCACTGCTTGGTGAACAGAGGCTACAGTTAAGGATTGGCGCCCAGGAAATCCTCCCTGGCCATGATACGAAGCGTCGGGTGAATGTTTTACCACTGCGCAATGAGGACTGCGGACTTTACTAGATATGATTTGATCACAAAAAGATAGCTGACAGAAATATCTCCATTAACCTTAATATATTTCATAATACATGTAATTTTGGTATATGTAATTTCTCACATGTAAAACATTAAATTTCATACATGTAATTTTACACATGCAATACATGTAAAAAAAATCTTGTCCATGGCAGGTAATGAGTCAGTATGGATACCTGGCACTGTCAAAGTCTAGCCTGTAACTGCCAGAGTGTAGAAATGGGGACACTACTCAGGCGATGTGTTTCGTGACATCTTTTAGATTTTGGAGGGTGGTTCGCTTCTTTAGAGGATGATTTTTAATTTCCCCTGCTACCTTCACCACTTGGAGGGGACAAGACAGATTTGCAAAGGTTTTTAAACCTGGTGGGTAGAGAGTAGTCATGAGAAACTGGAAAACCCACCAAGAATTTTTCATGTTAGTACTAACCTCGGAAAGCTACTGAAGGACTCACAGCAGAAAATAAAAAGTTACTAGAGCTATCATACTTGTAAACAACAATCATTCTATTAGTGCAGTTTCACAACAGAGCTGGAATTACAGACATACAAACATAATGCATAATTTATACCTGTAATATTTGGATTCCTTGAATAACTGCAAGTGTCAAATCCCTCTTGCCGTGTACTTTTTGCTCCCCTGCAGGACACAGACTATCAACTTCATCCAAAAACACGATTGATGGTGAACTGCATGGAATATAGACATTTTTGTCATAATATAGTTTTGTCATTTTTGTCATAATATAATACTGCATGGAATATAGACATTTTTGTATTTCTGTAGGACCACATAAAGGTGCTGGGTAGTCATTGTAAAAAGTATTGATTCTGCCAGAATAAAACAAAATTCAATAGAAAGGTAAACCCATACTCAAGCCTTCCATAGTCCCGGTGATACCACTCGAGTGCTAGCCAGCAGTAGAATCTGATTCCCCTAATGACTAACCCAAGCAAACACATGCTTTCCCTGAACACCAGCAACATTGACTCTGCCATAGAGGGACAAAAGGTTTTCACTCTCACAATCTTCTGTCTTAGAGAAGTAACACCCATCAGAAAGTACAGGGAAGCAAAACAAGATGAGGGGCATGGGAGCAGCAAAATACCCAGGTCAAAAAATTTTCACATACTCAAAGTCGTCTTCAGAGAATATGTATTCTGTACTTCCAGGGGGTACAGATTTAAATAGAATTAATCAAAGGAATACAAAATACAAAGTTAGGTAGGTGGCTTACCTACCCTGTGGTGAAAGATGTCTTCTGCATTTGGCTACTTCAAGACAGAGGGCAATACAGATGGTGACAGCATTATCAGGGAGGCTAAGAACTGATCTTGCAGCTTATGCAATATCTCAGAAAATCTGCCTAAGATGACATTGTAACAGCTCTGGCATAGTAACATTGATAAATATTGGGTTGCAAACTTGCGTAGGTCACAAAGCAAGACAGCCTTGTGTCCAAATCAACTTCACCAGGCAATGGAATTGACTGCAACAAACATGACTTGAAACAAGACAATGTCATAGGTTTCAACAGCTGAGAAGTAACACCAAATGAGCAGTGAACGAGGAGCCCCTGACAACAAAATATAAGCCAGTGTACCAATAAGCAGCCAACAAAAAACTAGTCTTGCTATTATTCAGAAAAAAAACAATTAGTGCGAAATCTAACGGCATCGCCTCAATCAAAAGATACGAACACCTTGGATCCAAACCTTATTGCGTACTGTTAAGGAAAGCAGAAATGACATCTTCTATGCAAGATAATAACAAATGGATCAATCCTTAATATCTCTGTGCAGAGAAATATAAAACTGTGTTCATGCACAACCTGGAATTGACTGCAATTAACTCACATTGGACCATTTGCTAGCCTGATATGAAAGAAAGCTCCTCCAAAAAAGGAAGCTACCAAGGTTATTATGAAATATGTCCTAAATATAATATTTCCTTAACCAAATAAACTTCTACTAAGCTATCCAAGTGCCTTTCTATTTATTATGAGAAGGATTATGTCTCTGACACACAGCCTCCTAAATTCATACACACAGCCTCATAAATTCTACATAAAATGCCCATACCTGAAGCTCTGTACAGAACTTGAAAAGATTTTAATACTGTACATACAACCTGTCTTCTTACAAATCATATCTGAATTTGGCCCTTTACCCGTATGGCTGAAAATGGACGAAATTTGAAACTGAAAAAAAAAAAGTGGATTTTTTTTACCCACAACAACAAATTAACACTTTCGCTCGGGGATGACGCAGCATTGCGTCATCTGTTTACTGGCGGTAATGCCGGGGATGACGCAGCATTGCGTCATCCACTTTAAAAATTCGCCAAAAATCAGGTTTTTATCCGATTTTTTGGGGACTGGTTTTAAAATGCGCGCCGATGTCTTCCCATTTTCTTTGTTGCGCTTAGTGGCCCGCAGGCGGCGCGGCACACGCCGTCGGCCCATTGTTTTCGCTCCACTGTTGTGACCGGTGTCGCCTCCCCTCGCGTCTCAAACGTGTGAACATTTCGGCTATTTTCCGTGGCTATATTTCTTACTGCGGCTTCAGAAACTATCTACGCTTACTCCACGATGGATAGTGATCATGAACAAGGCCCTTCCAGGAAGAAAATTGCGAAAGAAAGGCGTGAAAAGCAGAAGCTGAGTAGTGTACAGGAGAAGTACAAGCATGTGAGACTAACTCCCACCATCCACTCCACCTATACAAAACATGGGTTGACCCTGCAGGAAACGTTTTCCAGGAGCAGGTGGAGTGGATAAAACAAATGTTCAACCCATGTCATGTTCAACACACAACACTGAGGTGGTAAGTGCAAATTTTTTTATTATTTATTTATTTTTTTTTTTTGTTCATACTTTCCCGTATTGTACAGGCAATGTTGTTCTTCAATTGGCCCTTATATGCACATATCCATCTGAAGAATTCTATTAGGAACATTTTCATACCTAAATGAGCGCTGTAACACGAAAATTGAGATTACCACCAGGAAATAATACTAAACATATGTGGGCGGGAATTGGGAGTGTAGCGGGAAGGCGTCTGAGCGCTCACTCACGGCTAACGCGTGGCCCGTCTTCAACTCGTCGGCGGTTGGAGCGTGACCAGGTTTTTTATTTTATATGCTAATATTCCTCTAGAGAATTCTATTACGAACCCATTGAGACCAAAATGAAAGACCTAGGACGAAAATTGAGGTGACCAGAGTGAAAATAGTGAAAACATTTTATCGCGTTTGCGCGCTCCCGGGTAACTCGTTCGCACTTTCTCTGCTTGCTGCGGGTAATTAGCCGGGCTTTTGGAGTTTATATGCATTTAGTGCTGTAGAGAATTTTATTGCGAACACAATGATACCAAATTTAATCTCGTAGAACGAAAATTGAGGTGACAAAGTTGAAGAGAGTATACACTTTTTGGAATTGACGCGCGCTTCCATGACACGCTGGGGCCCATATCGCTGGGGCTCATATCGCCCTGTCGAGGGGTGGCGTTTCAAAACGCGGTTAATTGAAAGTGCGCGAAAGTGTTAATGACCAATAAACCCCCATCTAAAGACATGAATGTGGTCTCATTTTATAGATAAACATTTCCACTTGTGATATTGTACATACTGTACCATCATTTTTTTGTGAAGGTATTACATTATTTATCTTTTGAAACCTATTTTGAAGAGCAATAATTTATATTAAGTGGTTGGATGATGGTTAATAGAGTATATGTACAAGTTTGTATGCTTGAAAGAAGAATAAAAACTTAATAAAGAAGAGATACAGGGAACATTTAATAAATATGCTCAACAGACTCACCATTCACGTGCCAATTTAAACCTGTGATACACACATTCTTCTGCACCTGCTGATGATCTAATTATATCAGCCAATGTCAGAGTGATTACATGCATGTCCAGCTCGGCTGCTGCCTGGTTCACCATGAGAGTCTTTCCAGTACCTGGTGGACCATACACAAGCACACCATTCCAGCCTCCAAGCAGAGGATTTTCTGAAAAATAAATTAGTTAAAAAATGAAAGGTAAATGTAAATTATGGTATATTTCTAACTCTTGGCATGGAAAGTCTGTCCTTTCACTTCTAAATATTCCACATAAGAATGGAAATTATTATAAATCTGAATTGAAGTTAATTTCTCCGTGAAACTGGAAAATTGTGGCAAAGAATTTTCTTTTTTTAGTCTAAATTTCTTGTGTTGAAAGCAACAAATTGAGATAAAATGACTGATAACAGCAGCTCATAATAAAAAAATTCAGTGAGGTTGTTAACATGTGTAGAGCAGTAGGTATTCAAGATTTAAAGAGAGAACCTGCTATTTACATGCAAGGAATTCAATTACATGTACTCATAACTAGAATAGTTTCAGCAATTCATGGTTTGTTTTGCTACTTCTGTACTTTCTGAGTGGTTATTGTTAGTCTTGAGTCACCCCAGATGCACACCTTAACCTATGGACCATGACTGGCAAACGTTTAAACAAACTGGAGTATACCTGAACTCACTAGAAATTTGAAGGCAATGAGCTGGTACCCAATCCAATTTTTACATGTACCCTGCATACATTCTGGTGTAGGTAATGGAGTTCTGACCAAATGCTGCCATCAAATACAGAAGGGTTTGGTGGAAATCCCCATTACTGTACTTGTAAAAAGTGGATTGGGTGCCAGCTCAATGCATTCAAATTTCTAGCAAGGTTGGGCAGATTTCAGGTGGTGTAACTGTTGCATATCATGGACCATGGGTTAAGGTGTGCTTCTGGGGTGACCCAGAATGCTGGTTCGATCATATCATATCCTGCTCCAAAGATTTTCTCAGATACAATATATCACATTATTGTGATTTTGCTAAAAATGTGCAACTAAAGGTAAAACTTGCCAGAAGTGATGAATTACACACAGCTCTGATCCTCACTTACATCCTGCCTGAGAGTGGGGGAAAAGTCAGCATGAAATAGTACATGCATCCACCTATAGAGCTGACACACATCCAATGATGGAGATGACATTTGTAAACAGAAGGCCAAGAACCATGGTTCAGGCCAGAGGCAAACGAGAGGAGCCAGATCACAATGAAGGCCATACCAAACAGCCATAAAAGATAACTCAGAGGGCTGTCAGCCCTTGATCATCGGTAGAGAGCCATAGTCAGAACACACAAATGACTGGGTACCACACCATGGAGTTAATATCCCATACACAGAAACTAAGGTAAGAAAGAAAAAAGAAAAATGTTACCTCAAGGAAAAAAAGTAACTCTACTAGATTGGCAGAGCTGGGTGCAGAGCAGGTGGTCACCAGGAAATAAGGAGAGACTGTTGGCTCCTATGACTCTAGTGACAACCTGATTGCAGTCCCATGGTGGTCGGGTAGCAGCTACTTCTCTAGGTAATTAGCAGTGATAATTGTCTTTCTCTATGCCTACAATTATCACAAAAGTTGAGAACTTTGTGCTACTCTTTGCTGACTCCACGTGATATTCCTTGTTTGGAGGATCAAGTTATTTGTTCTCTATTTTTCTTCCCCAACTATGTGGCAAGATCATTTTAAATGTTCTCCATAACAGTGGGACATACATGTACTAAAGCTTAGTGTGCGAGCAGTGTCCTTGGGGAGTAATCGAGGGTAGCCTTGCTCAGAAACACATTTACCTTTATGGACAAAAAGTGACAAAATTATTTACCTCTGAAGCTTATATCTTGGAGTTTTGCTTGCATTATTTTCACTAGTGAAATATACGCAATGTTCCTGCAATATCTCTGAGTCGACCCCTTAACTTCAGGAGCAGACTCATCACTAACTTTACAAAACTGTTGCATTCTAAACTTAGTTTCTTTTGCAATTCTAATCCAGTTGCAGCTTTGTTGAGATTGAATACATCCTTTAATTTTAGACTTATTTTTACAAGAGATGGATCTTTCTTTACTATGTATTTTTGATGTAAGAAGTGATCTGTGCAAGTTCTCTTCAATACCAATAAATTTCTTTGGTGTTGATGTTACCACACTGGAGCCCAAATCACTCTCATCCATAAATTCTCCTGTCCGAAACTCATCAACTGTTAGTAAAGCACTACTTGAATCGGATTCTGCAATGCGAGGTCTCAAGGAGCTGTCTCCTAAAGATGTTTCAGAGCATTCCCACTTATCCAGTGTCAGCAGTTGAGAAGGAACACTTCTGGTACTTTCATTCAATGAATAATCATCCTTGCTGGTTATGCTTAAATTTTGCATTTCATTAATTAAATTTTCATCATGCATGGTACTGTCTGTAGTTTTCTTACATGGTTTATAATCACTAACGATGAATGAAATCTCTGTGCTATTTAATGGCAGATAAATTTTACTTCCTATGTTTAAAGTAAATGGTGCACCTAAAGGAAAATTTTCAAATAATAAAAACTTCAATTGCCGTTCCACAAAAATATGCTCTTTTTCAGATAGGACTTTGCTGGGTGTCAACAGCACTTCTTCAGCATACTTAACAGTGTTTATTTTCTTAACCCAAAGTAGAGTGTTCATTGTCACTGCCGGAAAATACTGCACACAACCTGAAAATATAATCTGAGTAAGTATTCTTTGGACTGAGATCAGCAAAAACAGAGAAGTGATGGGAAATACAACACGAGGTAACTGGGAGGTGGGGAAAGGGGAAATTAAAGAAAACAAAGTTGTTACACCCCAATGATGCAAATATATCATCCAAAAATAAAACATTACATGCAATTAAATGCCCGTGCCTCCCTAGAACTAGCCATTAAAAAGATCCTTGATGCACTGGTGCAGAACGTTACTATATCATGATCTAGTACAATGAGACCAGCAGCTTGCCTTAGTGAGCATCTGAGTGGAAGAGCTCAAAGTTGTACTATACTATTAAACTGGATACTTGAAAAAAAAAAACAGGCTTAAAATATTCTTAGAAGAGTTGTATAATATCCAAACTACCAGTAGGTCTTACTTCTCTGGTGTAATGCAATGTGTCCAATTCGCACACTTTCATCCGGGATCGCAAGGAATGCACAAGAGGTGTTAGCATGCTCCACTTCCACTGGACTATATGCAGAAATATCACAGCGAATTAAGTCTCTTTCATTTACTAGAACTATTCGATAATGAAGGTTACTAAAGATCTTCTTAAGCCATTCTGAAAAGAAAAGTATTAATTTGGTAACTATCATTTAAGTTTGAAAGTTTATTTTGATAGGTCATTGAAATTTTTGTACAATTATATATGGCTTGACTGCACTAGGATAATTCAGGAATGTATCCCAGTCTTGCATTCCAGTATAAATCATGACACACAAGACTTTTGAAGCAAAAAAACAAAAAAATAATAATAAATTGCATTCCTCCCCCCCACTATAAATATCAGCTGCAGTGTCAAAACTCAGAGTGAATTACCCCTTAATGTGAACAAATTCTAGTCTAAATTCTGTTTATGGATGGGATGTGAGGTGATAGTGAACATGTTAAATGTATGTCAGACAGTGGCAGGAGGGTGAGGTGCCTGGTGATTGGACAAAGACCACTGTAGTACTGCACTTGTATATAAAGAAAAATGGACAAGGTTGTGTAAATTGTCGAGGGATTAGTTTACTTAGCATCCCAGGATAAGTGTATTTAAGGGTGCGAATTGAGAAAGTGAGAGACAACGTAAGATAGGGAAGAAACAGTGGGGTTTAGGAAAAGAAGGGGCTGTACAGATAAGATTTTTTCCACGAGAATGTTTTTTAAAAAGTTTCTAGCAAAGGAGAGAAAGTTGTATATTGACTATATGGATTCAGAAAAACTTAACAATTGGGTACATTGTGAAACATTGGGGGAGGTTTTAAAACTTTACGGACACAAAGGGAGCTTATTAACAGCTGTAAAAACCTTGTATGTGAATAACAGAACATCTGTGAGAGCTGAACGAAAATTAGGACAGGGTTTTAGTGCTAAGGGTAGGCATAAGACAGGGTTATGATATGTCTCCCTGGCTTTTTTAATATACATGTATATGGGTGAGTTAGTTTGGGAGGTAATCCAGATCACTTGCAACACAAGTGGATTGTAATAGGGATAAATTTAAATGTTGTTTTTTATACGAGTATGCAGATGATGTGGTGTCATTTACTGAGAGAGAGTGAAGGAATTGCAACAGATTTTAAGCAAGTGTGATACTGTGTGTAGAAGAAAGTTGAAGGTCAAAGTGTTTGAGAGAAGGCTACAAAATGTTCCGATTTTTAAGGAGAAAGATCATTTGTGTACAAATAACCATCCAATTAATTTAACATCTATTGTGGGAAAATTGCTTATATCAATAACTGCAAGCTATTTGTTTGCATCTTGAAAAACATACGAGTAATAAAGAATTAACAATATAATTTTACACTAGGGCCACTCATGTTTAAAAAATTTACTCTCCTTTTACAGTGTACTGTACTTATTTCAAAGAGCAGTTAAGTAGAAAAGATTCTATACCTTGACTTAAAGTAAATCTTTTGATATTGTGCTTCATAACTCATTTAAAGTCAGACATTTGGGAGGAGGATTATCCAAAATTGGTTTAGGGTAAGGTTATTTCAAAGAAAGCAGTGTTAGCATAAATGAAGTTAAGTCTGAGTGGGAAACTGTTGTAAGTCAAATGCCTCAGTACTTTGTTGTTCACTGTACATATATAGTAGTAAATGATATACACATAGGACTGAACAGCAGCAATATTTGCAAATTTGCAGACAAAACAAAAATAGGATTGGAATTAAATTCACAGGAATATAAAATCACTACTAGACGACTTAGATAAGTTTTTAAAATTGATGATGGAGTGGCCTTCCTAAGTTCCTTTTTCATATCCTCAAATTTACTTGAATTTACAGTATACAAAATCAGACCCAAGTTTCATTTCAGTAATGTCACTATGTTGTTAACAAGAAAGGTACCAACCTGGCTCTTCCAACTGACTTTTATACAACTGTCCAACCACAGAACTTTCTTTAGAATTTTGTTTGTCTTTGTTTCCAAATCTCTCATCTTTAGATTTCTCTGTACCTTTCTTCTTTTTCTTCATGCCTTCTGCTTCCTTTGCTTCATTGCTTTTAATACTGCTCTCATTTAGTAATGTTTGAGCTGTTCCCACTGTCAGAGCTTGGACAAACATTGAAGACCCTTAAACAAAAATCATGTATAATTTTTATTTTATTTTATTATATTTATATATATACAAGAAGGTACATTGGGATTGTGAGGATACATAGTATAGTAATTACAATCTTGTAAAGCCACTAGTACCCGCAGCATTTCGGGCAGCATATAATGCATATAAACTGTAGCTATGATGTGTACAAAAAAATAATGCTGTAAAATGCAACAAGCATACATGCACGCACATTCACTCACATCCAAGCATATATACTATAATCGTTTCATATTATATATTCCTCATTGACATAGATACAGTAAAAGAGTTTTATAGCAATATTGATGCATAAGAGAGATACTGTACTGTACATTCATATTAGCCAGTTTTAGTTATTTTTTCTGTCATATCTAAATGAGACATTAACTTACCGGCAATATAAGGATGAGAAAATGATGAAAGGTTTAATTCGTGGCATTCTGTTGCATGTATTTCCTTGGCATAATTTGGCACCCAAACATTACATCTCACACATGGAATATAGGAATCTGCATCTAATTTCAAGCCCATTTTCTGAAATTTAAATAAGCCTTTTAATGATAGCAAATTTCAGTTACTGAACCATCAAACTGAAATAAAGGAATATACTTTACTTTGTTATTATTAACTGAAACATGGAAAAATTATATTCTGTAATAATATTACATTTAAAGTTAATATTAAAATATTTTCTTATTCACTAGATATAAACCAAAATGTAACTATGAATTTGAGAAGAAGAGATACGGGCCCCTGTGGCTGGGACAGGCTGCCTGTCCTAACAAAATTAATTATTATTAATTATTATTATTACTGTAATGCCCAATTTTACTTTACCCAACCTCATTTAACCCAGCCCACAGCAACCAAACCCAACTGAGCCTAACACTGCATAACCTATGCTAATACATCCTTCTTCAGTAATATACTTTATGTATATCTTGCAGCAAATAACACACTGATAGGTAGATGTTTGGAGAGCCCTAGGAGTCCCTCAGGGATGCAAGCACTGGCTCCCATTCCCCACAGAGAACACTGGGCTGCAATAGTCAAGGCAAAAATACAGCCTCTCCTAAACTCATACCCAAATGCGGTCCGTCTAATTACCGCAAGCTACCACAAGCTACACAAGCTTCACTAAGCTTCCTGGCAATACGTTAGTAATGAATAAATGATATATTTACTCATTATAATGTTGGTGCTGAATGTACAACACGAAAAAACATAATTTTAATCTGAAAAAGTATCTTTTTATAAAGAAATTAGACGAAAATAAAGAGCTGGTGACGCCAAATCAAGTAGACGATCCAAGCGTCGGTTAGGTTAGGTTACGTTAGGTCAACCTAACCTATCATATTTATTCATTACTAACGTATTGCCAGGAAACTTTGTGAAGTTTGTGTAGCTTGTGATAGCTTGCGGTAATTAGACGGACCGCCCAAATGGGGAAAAACGTCTTCCAGTGACCTTACATGTAAGGCATATATCAAAGCCCCCCACCCCAAATGTCGCATTACTGACCCCTCCCCCCTTCCAGGATGCAGCCCCACAACAATCCGACTAACTCCTGGAGTACCTTTTACTGTAAAGTGAACATGGGCATTATGTGACGGGAAATGCTCGCGCTGGAGGTTCCACGAGCACGACAATGTTGTTGTGATGTGAAGTGGTCACTTGTGTAGGTGGTGCAGGGTTCTGGTTTTCTATGGTTAAGGAGTGTTAACTAAGTTATATTTTCTTTAATCAATTATTAAACTTTTTTATTCAGGTAAAAGTACATACATACATACATGATGAGTTACAAACATGATATTGGATTTATAGACAGAGCTAGTACATACAATACCTAAAGTCACTTTATTATTATTATTAACATCTTTATTGACAAAATTAATTACAATTTTGCCTAATCTGAGGATTTTGATAGTCTTATTAAATTGAGGTTAATGCTAGTATTCACTGTCACGCAGGACAGAGGGTCATACATAAGACAATAGGCCTAAACTGTAGGCTGAAGCACATATATATCACGGTTACAATCAATGTTTTAATGTGTGGATATGTGAAAACAACTTTCTATTGTGCACTGCCACACAAGTGCAGGGATGGGTTCATAAGTGATACAGCTTAGAATATAAGTAGAAATTGTTCTTCATTCTTTAAAATGGACAAGCAAATTTTGGGTAAATTGTTAGGATGTCGTCCAGAACACCTGAGTCAATAAAATAGTTACACAGTTGGTGGTACAATAGGCCAGGAGGTCTAAAGTCCTTTACGGTTTCACATTCATCAATATAGTGTTCTAGTGAATGCATTAAAGGTTTATCACAGAGTTTACAATCTGAATATTCTGGTAGTGGCTCAGCCTCACTAACCTGCCAGATGTGTCTATAGCCAAGGCGAATTCGCGCGATTACTACATCACATTGCCTGGTCCGGTTACTGTGCTGACCATACAAATACCTATTATTACAGAACTTGTCATAACTTTTAATACTGCAGCTTTCAGGTCTCTGTGCATTTCTTAGTTCTTCTAAATCTGAATTAATTTCTTTAATTTGTATGTTTCTAATAACTGCATTAGATAGTCCAAAATCATAATCAATGTTTTCTTTCCTGCAAGCCTCATTGGCCAATTGATCTACAAAGTCATGTTTTTCAACTCCAACATGGGATGGGATCCACACAAATTTTATACAAGAATTATTATCATTGGCAAAAATTACATTCCATTTAATATTACAAGCTACTTCCGACATACATTGTGATGGGTTATTTAAGGACTGCAGAGCACTTTTAGAGTCACAGAAAATAACTCCACCACCATTGAGCTTAAGGTATTCAGTGGCTAGATAAATACCCAATAGCTCGGTCTGTGTCGTGCTTGCCCAGTTGTTCAATCTCTGTGTACTAGTCATGATCATTTCATTCCCTTTATACACTGCACATGCACAACCTGTTCTACCAGTGCCTAACTGCACAGAGCCATCAGTAAAGGCATAGGATTCAGTCGGTTTGAGAATTTGAAGATGACTGTCAATAGCTTCTAATGTTATACATCTCAAAATGTCAGTGTTATACATTTGTTTTACACTGATGGGAGTATAATGCAGAGAGACCTCCACATCTTTCCAAGGGGGAATATAGTGAACAGTTTTATCAGGGTTAAGAGATACATTCAGTTTCTGAAGATTATAGACACAACAACTGAGCCACACACTGTAGGGAGCTTTTTGCGGCGGATTGAGGGAACAGTCAGAATTGTTTAGAATGGATCTCAATTTAATTTGAATAGAGCTGGGGGGACCATTATTTTTCAAAGTTTTGGCACAAAACATAGTACTAAGTAGAACTATTCTTTCGTAAATGGAAGGTAAGTTTAGTTCCTTTCTCATGTTAACAATTCTGACAGTTCTAGGACAACCCAGGATGATGCGCATGGCATCATTCTGTACTACATCTAGGCCTTGTAATTGTTTAGGAGAAAAATTAAGAAGATGCAAGGCATAATAATCAACAACAGATCGTATAAAGGCAATATAAAAACTACGAGCATATTTTATGTTAATGCCAAATCCTTTGCCAACAAGAGTTCTGAGAGGTTTAAGACGCTCAACAAGTTTTTTACGCAGGTTGCTGATGAGATTTGTATCATTAACCTCGACTCCAAGATATTTATAAGACTCACAAGTCTCCACGGGCACTCCATTAATAGTATAGTTAGCATGAAGAGAATGGGGAATAAGAACCCTTGTTTTATCAACAGAGATTATGAGGCCACATTCTACTACTTTCTTGGAGAATGCATCAAGTAACATTTGTAGCCTTGGTTTACTGTGTGCCATAATACAAATATCATCAGCATAACATATAACTGTTTCCGTAGGTTGTACAGGTATGTCATGGATAAGTTTGTGCATAAGTATATTGAAGAGCATAGGGCTTAGGACACCGCCTTGAGGTGTGCCTAGTTCGAATGCATCTGTTCTTGTACTTTTAACTCCTTTAAATAGGACACTAGCACGCCTGTTGGATAGGTAGCTCTTTATCCAACTCAGAAGATTACCTTTGATTCCAAATTCAGCAAGTTGCTCTAATATTATTTCGCCATTCGCTACATCGAAAGCTGACTTTAGGTCAATAAAGGCTGCCTGTGTCCCATCCTGGGAGTTTACAAAGTATTCAGCAAAGCATGTTTGTGTGCTACACTTGGGCATGAACCCATATAGGTTTGGGGCCAGTTTTTCTTTGACCTGAAACATGACACGATTGAGAACAATTCTCTCCAAGACTTTACACATGCACGGGCAACACCGAACTATTACATGTCGTAGGTTAAATTAAGAATAAAAACTGCCTAACACAAATATTCTTATACACCTTACTATATACATACATTATTTATAATATTATGATAGATAGTTAATTGTCCAGACCTTATATTCATCCTGTGACTGGTAGTTTATTGTTTTTTTTTTAGTTTAGTTCATTTGTTATGCACCCCATACCCATCTTGTGGACGGTAGTGGAAAGGGTTACAGAGGCACATAATGGGCTCAGGGACTGAACCCCACAATTCATTTAGCTAAGCAAGTTACAATCTTGATGAGCTAGTTACAAAATTCAATATAAGTCTTCACATCAACAATGGGTTCGAGATCGACCTCAAGTACAGGTTCTAAATTAAGCCACTGACATATGTGGAGAGCCTAGTATCACAATTTATATGTTTGTCCTGCACACCGCCCCCCATCCAGTGGGCAGAGGTGGATAGGTTATAATCACTCATTTACTACCTACAGTTAGCAAACTGGGGATATTTGGCTAAAATTTCTGGTAGCAGATCATTTTGAATTAAATATTTACACATCGCTGGAACATTGGTTATAGAATTGTCTCTAAATTCACGTATCTTTTCGCACTCCATCACATAGTGACGGAGGGTGTGCGAATAACTTTGTTGACACAGTTTACATTTGGTCAGGTCTACATCAGCAGATAATGAGAATTCCCAGAGATACTTGTAACCGAGTCTAAGCCGAGCAGTAGTAACATCTAGAAGTCTGCTGATTTTATTGGATGATCCATAGATGTGTAGCTCCTCTTGCATGATAGTATGATGATAGATGGAATTACTGATGTCAGTTTCACTTTGCCTCAGATCTACAAGATCTTGTTGAAGTTCTCGGTGTACTGCTGCTCTCAGATTGCTCATTGACAATCCAAGGTTACACTCAACGGCTCCTTTAAAGGCAGATTCTTTGGCTAACTTATCAGCTCTATCATGCATTCGGAGGCCAACATGAGATGGAGACCACATGAAATGGACTCTGTTACCATCCTTAATAATTTTGTTGTATTTGTGTCTAGCTTCGGGCACGAGCATGTTACAGTTATGTCTTAAAGAGTTAAGAGCATTTAAGGATGATAAGGAGTCACTTACAGTTAATGTATCAAGTTTGGAGACTTGTACACATTTCAGTGCAAGGATCAAGGCAAATAGTTCGGTCTGAAGGGTAGAGGCCCATTTGTTTATATGGACTCCCCACTCAAAGTACAAGCCATCGCCCATTGTCAGGACAACTGCACTTCCAGCTGCACCCGTGGTGCGGTGTAGGGAACCATCAGTGTATATGATTTGAGAGAGAGAAATTCATTCTGCTCTGTGGACAGAGCATCAATATGGCTTAAGGCGTTGAGCTTTGCCTCAAGACGAAGCTTGGGCTGATCTCTAATTTGCTTCTTGGGTGAAAAGGGAGGGATTAAAACTGGAAAGGGTGTAACCTCCCACGGTGCAGGAAAGTGCCGTTGTTGTTTCTCTTGGTACAAATCATGAACCCCATACATTCTGAGTTGAGTTCCAGTTTTTGTTATCCATTTGGAACAATGCTGATCTTCAATAAAGAAATTCTGGAGGGCTTCAGTGCAAGGATTAGGATGAGTTAGCCTAAGCATTTTTATACCAATTTGACAGTTAATTTCAGTAACACGATCAACAACGCTCGGAATATTAAGTTCCTTTCTCATATTAAGTATCTTTGTGGTACGAGGGCACCCAAGGATTATCCTCAAGGCTTCGTTCTGCAATTTTTCAAGCCCTCCAAGCTTTCTTTCAGGCATCAAAACAAGCAGAGGTGCAGCATAATCCACTAAAGATCTGATGTATGCAAAGTACATCATTTTGACAATCCTGACATTGGCACCATAGCCTGAGTGATAACCTGCAACAGCCTTGAGAGCTCGGAGCCTCTCTTTATACTGACGACAGAGTCTGAATACAACAGGACCATACACTGGCACCTCAAGGCCAAGGTATTTGAATCTGTTTACATAGTCAAGCTGGGAGCCATCAGACAGTTGCATCTTGCGAACAGCTCCTCCCTGCCTGGGTGGGCGCCGATTGTGTATCTTTGTTTTCTCTGCTGAGATAATTAAACCTAGGTCCTAACATGAGTCTAATACAGAGTTAAGAGTGTTCTGCGTGTTAGCATACCCAGTTGTGTGTATCATTATATCATCAGCATAGCTAATGATGTGGACGTTGGGTTTATTGTGCGTCCCATACTCTTTACCTGATTTTATCTGATGGGAGGAAATGTATTACCTTTGCAGTGTATGTATAGGTAGGGTAAGCATGCAGTTGCTATATGGTGTGAAGGGAGGGAATGTGTCCTATGGTCACTGGTAGTGAGTGAAGTGGTAGTGTTTTTTTCTTCTGGACGTGTAGAGGGGTATTGTATCTCAACCCCTAGTTAGATTAAGGACCTGTCCGAAACGATGCGCGTACTAGTGGCTTTACAATATTGTACATACTATGCTATGTATTCTCACAAACCCAATGTACTCTCTTGTATGTAAATAAATAAATAAAAACCCGTCCTCGACTCAAGTCCGTTACAACCAGCGGTCGCCCCCACAAACGCATTCATAAATTTTAACATGCTGTTTATTCAAAATAAGAATTTTCTCAAATATAAATTAATATTATGACATATTAGCATATTGTGCATATATAGGCATAGGTTAGGTTAGGTGGTTGGGTTCTGTTGGTGATTATTTGTATTTGTAGTACGTGGGTGAAGCATTTATAGCCTTGTGGTTCGAACAAAATTCGCCAGTGAAGCATTTGTTCCGGAAGTGTTCGAACGAAATGAGTTGTATCGTGTGTAAACCGTTTTTCATTCATAAACAGGGGGTTTGGCGGGAGCATGGAATCACTTTTGGATCTTTGTTTGGAGGACGGGCTGTGTATCTGCTTCACTCTCTCTGCTTTCTGTTACCAGTCACCACAGTAACAGCTCTCAGAACAGCAGACTCGAAGAAGGGAAACATTATTAATCGGAGGGGAAACTGTGCTTAACTCGGAACGTGAATCATAGATGTCGTTGTCGTCACAAACGCCACAAATAATTATCTTGAATTCAGCATATGTAGGAAGTCAAGTAACACTGCCATTTATTCATTACTACTTTGGATACAGAAATAATGTCAAAGAATATATATTTCAATTTCATGTATGTAAAAACTGCATGACTTCATTTCAAAGGTTTTTCTCTGGTCATCAAATGAAAGAGCTTTCGATAATAATTTGATAGACTGCTATAAAACAAATAGCAAAATCATGTAATATGATTACTAGTAATGAATGGGACATTCTGGATACATTTTTAGATAATTTAGTTTAACAAATCTTATGAAGAGTTTTACACGAGAACTATTCCAGTTTGATATGGGCCGCCCAACAACTGTGACAATGAAACAAATTACTCAGTCTTAACCCAGGGACAATTCAGTAATATCATACTCCCACGCCCCTGTTTCCTTTCCCCTAGTATGAAAATACCTGATATGTAATATAAAACATGATAACAGGTAAGCTAATTTACAGCTTTTGACATGAATTTATGGAATATAATTAAATATGCCAAATAAAAAGCATTGTTTTAAAACTGAGCAGTTGAGTGTTACTCGTGAGCTTGTTATCTGGGACCAGTGTGGTTCACACGGCGAGAGTGATAAACAGTGGCAGCTGCACTCTTGAGTGCCCGTCTCTCTGTTATCCATGTCAGAGTGAACATGCTAACTTTACACACACACATGTAATCATAAGCGCAAGTATCCAATAGGAAAATGAAACGAAAATTCCGAACCTTTTTTTTGTTTTCAACACATTATCAAGAAAAGTTGTATTTCCTTGATAATGTGGAGTATTGATATAATGTAATATATCAATACTAATATAATATATTGTGATGAGAAAATGACGAGTGCCAAGTACAGTTACCACAACTTTAAGTGAAGGGTTAGAAGCATTACCTGAGCGAGGATCCTGGACAGGCCCCCAATTTATGTGACGAGAAAAATAGGTGGTATTGCAGTCTCTCTAGACAGATGGAATGCCAATCACATAAAAAAAAGGAAAATAAAGTTAAACTGCAAGTTGTCTTCACTATGAGGTAACTGTAGGATAAGACAGAGGGAAAAAAACATTTAAAAATACTTTACTTTAAAAAAACTGAAGTCAAATTACAAAACATAAAATAATATCCAGGCTTGGCTCTAATACAAAGTGTGCAAAACAAACAAGATGAACAATAAAAATTACGTTACGTTAATGTGCTAATAAAATATGGTGCGGGAATACTGTGAGCCAGACTGAATAACTCTGTTACCATACCAAGATATGTCAACAGGTCTACTCAGTAGAGCACTCAGGAGTAATCTGAATCGTAGTGAGCTAGGTAACCCTATATATTTATTTATTTATTTATTTATTTATTTATTTATTTATTTATTTATATATATACAAGAAGGTACATTGGGTTTGTGAGAATACATTGGATAGTACAGTATTTACATTCTTGTAAAGCCACTAGTATGCACAGCGTTTCGGGCAATATATACACGACGATGGCTGTGCAGGTGGCGCTGCTAGCTTCTTAACCTATGAACCGGCTCGTTAACTGCTTGTTTGAGATGGTGTGTGCTTCCAAGGCGTCGCCAGGTGCGAGGAGGGTGACGGGCCGTGGGGTAGGTAGACTGGTGGTATTGTCTAGACGTCTGGAAAGGAGTTGTTGTTGTTGTTCCTGTGACTGCAGTACTTGAATATATAGACGTGGTATGATAGAATAGATGATGATGGAGCAGACCGAATTTCTTCCTAGAGATTTCACCTTACCAATATATTATGGAGTATAATACAGTATTGATAATGTATTTCCTTCAGCATAACTGAATCACGTGTTTTTGTATGTATTCTTGCATGTAATCTCAAAAAGAAACAAGGGCAAAACACATATACGACTTAAGAATGGATATTCTTTTGAAATATTGATCCAAAATTATGAGAGTTTATGGTTTATGCCTTAGTTCTTATATTCTATTTGCCACCTGTGGCATGGAGGAATTCCTCTTCTTAAGGCGATAGGTCCCGCAGTCTTACGATGCATTTCGTGTCTCAATAAACAAATGACTCTTAACTCAGTGCTTTTTCAGCATAACTTTAAACTGTTCTTCAGAAAGATGATAGTGCTGGTTCAGCTTGGGCACCGAAACCTTACCCTATGGGGCCCTGACCCTGATAGTAAATTGTAGGAACTTGGTCAGTTACATCCCATCCTCTTTGAAAAGGGGGGAGGGGTTGCAATAAAAGCTGAACCCCTTTAACAGGATCAGTGAGACTGACCCCGACCTACCCATGTTGGTCACATACCTTTCATAAATAACCATGAAAAATTTGACGATGCTATTCCCCAGCACGTTGCCCCTATTCTTGACAAACAGACAAACAATGTGACATTCTCTTTCTTATAGATATTAGTGGAATCAAAGGTTTCATTACATAATTTTAATAGTATTTTAAGTAAGGTTTGGTTGAATAATATGCAACAATTCTGAATTATTTTTATTATTACACAGGTACGAACACCAGAGAGTTACACAGGTGCAGGTGTTGTAGGTGTGAGGTTGGTGCGTCTGATACCTGTGAGGAGCCCTGCCAGCTGCTTCGTGGTGTTGTTTAGGCAGTGTGGAGTGCCTCGAGGTCTAGACAGTCGGGTAGGAAGCAGTGTGGAGTGCCTCGACTTCTAGATAGTTGGGTAGGAAGCAGTGTGGAATGCCTCGACTTCTAGATAGTTGGGTAGGAAGCAGTGTGGAATGCCTCGACTTCTAGATAGTTGGGTAGGAAGCAGTGTGGAATGCCTCGACTTCTAGATAGTTGGGTAAGAAGCAGTGTGGAATGCCTCGACTTCTAGATAGTTGGGTAGGAAGCAGTGTGGAATGCCTCGACTTCTAGATAGTTGGGTAAGAAGCAGTGTGGAATGCCTCGACTTCTAGATAGTTGGGTAGGAAGCAGTGTGGAATGCCTCGACTTCTAGATAGTTGGGTAAGAAGCAGTGTGGAATGCCTCGACTTCTAGATAGTTGGGTAGGAAGCAGTGTGGAGTGCCTCGAAGTCTAGATAGTTGGGTAGGAAGCAGTGTGGAATGCCTCGACTTCTAGATAGTTGGGTAGGAAGCAGTGTGGAGTGCCTTGACGTCTAGACAGTGGGGTAGGAAGCTTGGGTGGCGATACCACAGTTGTTGCCCTTGTTACGAGCCATGTTGATGTAACCGCTGGAGCCCCAGCCGGTGTTCCAGGAGTTCTTGACGATCCAGTAGTCCTGGCCGCCCTCTGAGCCGTAGCCCACCACCAGCACAGCGTGGTCAAGGTAGGTTTGTGAGCAAGCTGCTTCGTAGTACACACCTGTCATAAAAATATTAGTTATGTCACTCGCCAAGTTACACACACTCTTCATTATGCTTGAACTGTAACACACTGAGACACTTTTCTGTCAGGGCAGCGTCTTCAAGACAACTGTCTTAACGTCCACCTTTAACTTTTTAACTTCACGTGTATGTGTGTGTGTGTGTGTGTGTGTGTGTGTGTGTGTGTGTGTGTGTGTGTGTGTGTGTGTGTGTGTGTGTGTGTGTGTGTGTGTGTGTGTGTGTGTGTGTGTGTGTGTGTGTGTGTGTGTGTGTGTGTGTGTGTGTGTGTCTGTCTGTCTGTCTGTGTAGATGCTCACCACTCTCATAGAACTGGAAGGACCAGTTTGAGGCGTCAATGGCCACAGCGATGGGGCCTACACTCTGGACTGCCTGCTGGAGGGCGTCCTCGTTGTAATAGTCGATGTCCACATAACCAGTCACTGTGGCGGCGATGTCGTTGGAGTTGAAGCGGCAGCGTCCATCCTGGAAGGACCAGGAGCATTACTTCCGTCAGTGCATATCATATATTGAAGTCACAGACGCTCGAAGTATGAAAAGCATCAATTTAAAATATTATTCGTGAAATGGTCTTGCGTGTTGATCAAGAAACCTACAGAAGAATATGCAAGCGTGCTGTTGGTCCGGGCCGCGGGGACGCTAAGCCCCGGAAGCACCTCAAGGTTGGTTGACTTACGACTGCCTCGTAGGGGTAGGTAGCCTCAGTGTTGATGCCACCATTGTCCCTGATGTATGCGAACGCGGTGTTCATCCAGCCACCATCGCAGCCAGCGTTGCCATAGGAGACGGTGCAGTCAACAAGGTTCTGCTCGGAGAGACTCACCAGGTTGCCAGTCGCCAGGAAGTGCTGGCCCTCTAAGGCGCCGGTCTGGGGGGCGGAAATGGTGGAAGTAAGACATATGTACATTGGCTTTGACCGTCACGTGTTCTTCCATTAGGATAACAAGTCCAGAGTCTTCCTGTCGTGGTGAAGGTCGCTAGACACGATCAGGAAAATTCAGGAATTGTTCAGAAATAAACGAAAAAGCATGTTTGTTTATACATCAAACTTAATCCTCAACTTTTTATGCTCGGTCGCTCTTGTGGTACGTTAACATGTTTACTACATGTACGAAATATCACTTAACATGACTCGCTTTTCGTTGTTATTTAAAAGCAACTATCAAATTATTCCACAGCATTGCATTATATTCTACAGGAAAATTATATTTAATTTCGGAAGGAAAACTTACTCCAAAGGAATCTCATTTATCCCAAAGGTAAACAACACTCTAGAAAAAAACAAAAATGCATTTAAAAGGAAAACAAAATGTTGCATTCAAAGATAACTTACGCCACAAAACGTGAGGTTGTAGTACAAGCTTCTGCTTGACGCATGAGACGTGATCAACCCCATATCTTCCTGGAACGGATCTCTTCCTAAGGAGACGGACAACATACTCCAGAGACAGACAACATCCTCCAGAGACAGACAACATACTCCAGAGACAGACAACATACTCTGGAGACAGACAACATACTCCAGAGAGAGACAACATACTCTGGAGACAGACAACATACTCCAGAGAGAGACAACATACCGAGGAGAAGGACCAGCATGAGCCACACTGCCCCTGGTCTTTGACAGGGGTGACGGCCCCCTTGGTACGCCAGTCAACGTCAACAGCCTTGGGAAGGCTTTTGTTAGCGTGGAAGATATTCGCTGCCTTAGGCTGGGGGCCCTTTTTAAGTCCCTTCATCACGGCGTTGAACTCCTGAGTCGTCTGCACAAACACAAGAATGTTAGCAACCGTCATCGATGAAAATATTTCATGCGTACTAATTATATTTGCCCCTTATTTAGACAGGAATCTTATATTGTGATTTATTTCCTGTCTTGTAAATTATAGATATACAGTTGTGAAAGCCTGTGAGACACTAACCATGTCACCAAACTGGTTCATCTTGACGGTGAAGGTGACCTCGCCATTCTCGAACCTTTTGTTGAACTCTTCGATCTTCTGCTGGTTCTCTGTGAACAACTGCTTACGGAACAGCTCCTCCTCCAAGTCCACGTACTTGCGGCCATACTGAGCCTGAGGAAGATAACACAACAATCATACATCTAGCTGTACGAAGGTTCATTGTCATGCTTCGTTCTTCAGAAGGAGGCCTGTAGAGCTGTTTCTTATTTAACAACTCAAAGCGGAACGTTCACAAACTGGCCAGATGTTAAAAGTTCTCTCAAACGTCTCTCAAGCGACGAACCAGTCTCGATATATAAACTTTTTTATCAAAATATGTGCTCGCATGTTATTATTTCTTAAGTAAAGATGATACGTGGCACAAGTGTTGTTCAGACATATAATAATTACCAGATGATGCTGTCATTACCTTGAAGGTGTCCCAGGAGGGGCTGGCGGCGGCCAGAGCCACGCCACAAAGCAACAGTGCTGCCACCTTCATCTGCACATAATAAAGACGATACAAGTGCATGACTTACAGGTAATATTGTTACAAATAATAGGTCATCCTACTCCAATAATAGTTACTCGAAATTAAAATTGTTTACTTGAATATATTGTCTTTCTACTGTAATTCGAACAAGCAACGCCAGTTAAATACTTTCAGAACTTCTCTATATGTCGACTTCAGAACAAAGAAATATGTTGCGAGAGTACATGAAGCAGCCAACACTATCATAACTGTGTGGCAGTAGAGGGAAGATGTGTTACCTTGCAGGAGGAGTGCTGGCTCTGGTTGAGAGTGTTGGGTGGTGTTGATGGGCCACTTATATACACGAGGAGCCGTGGGAGACCACACACCTGCTGAGTCCACATGTTTTCCAGGTGATGGGCACCAATACCCCCATCCTATACCCCAGGGTCTACCCACATCTCACAGTGATGGGCACCAATACCCCCATCCTATACCCCAGGGCCTACCCACACCTCACAGTGATGGGCACCAATACCCCCATCCTATACCCCAGGGTCTACCCACATCTCACAGTGATGGGCACCAATACACCCATCCTATACCCTAGGATCTGCCCACACCTCACAGTGATGGGCACCAATACTCCCATCCTATACCCCAGGGCCTACCCACACCTCACAGTGATGGGCACCAATACCCCCATCCTATACCCCAGGGCCTACCCACACCTCACAGTGATGGGCACCAATACACCCATCCTATACCCCAGGGTCTGCCCACATCTCACAGTGATGGGCACCAATACCCCCATCCTATACCCCAGGGTCTACCCACATCTCACAGTGATGGGCACCAATACCCCCATCCTATACCCCAGGGTCTACCCACATCTCACAGTGATGGGCACCAATACCCCCATCCTATACCCCAGGGCCTACCCACACCTCACAGTGATGGGCACCAATACCCCCATCCTATACCACAGGGTCTACCCACATCTCACAGTGATGGGCACCAATACCCCCATCCTATACCCCAGGGCCTACCCACACTTCACAGTGATGGGCACCAATACCCCCATCCTATACCCCAGGGTCTACCCACACCTCACAGTGATGGGCACCAATACCCCCATCCTATACCCCAGGGTCTACCCACACCTCACAGTGATGGGCACCAATACCCCCATCCTATACCCCAGGGTCTACCCACACCTCACAGTGATGGGCACCAATACCCCCATCCTATACCCCAGGGCCTACCCACACCTCACAGTGACGGGCACCAATACCCCCATCCTATACCCCAGGGTCTACCCACACCTCACAGTGACGGGCACCAATACCCCCATCCTATACCCCAGGGTCTACCCACACCTCACAGTGACGGGCACCAATACCCCCATCCCGTGCCCCAGGGTCGACCAGTATCAGTGCTAGCTGCATTATACATATGTTTAGTATTACCAAGTGGTAATGTGGTTATTGTGTCCGGGAGGTAGAATGGAAGCTGCACCATCCGTGCTGGGTCTGCCTTACAGAGAGCCAGCTGGGAACACTCAGACTATACACACAGTCCACTATAACACTGTAGACAGCTAAGTTTGCTGTTATGTTTGTAACATAACTTTAGTTAGGTCTTTTATATTAGAGAGTTAAGAAAATAAATCCACATGTATTGTGTTATTTTCATCAATATCGGATACAAGCTAACGAAGAATTACAAGTAAAAGCTGAAAATGGGGAGGGGGTGAAATTTGAATTTATTCTCCAAAAGTGCAGCGTCATAAATCCTTATCAATATACCTTTCAATTATATAACTTACTGTGTATATACTCTCCAATGACCTGTATTTAAAAATCTTATTATGTTGCATGATTGCATATGTAAAAATAGTAGTAGTTGCCAGCTTGTTGCTATTGCTACATTTATCTTCTGCAGTCGACGGCAACTTAAAATATACTTAAAGTTGTCCAATTTCTGTTAAATAACGCACAAAATGCAGCTAAAAATCTAGGATTTCTGTTGACAATAAAACATGAACAAATATTTATAATATATTAACTCGTGTTTAAAGTCGAGCGTCCCCACTCCTGTCTTAACGGACCATTAGTTCCCTGCTAGGCGTTCGTAAGTGACAGGAAATGTAATCTCTTTTGCATATATTACAAATTATACAATGCTAGTGACGTCGTGTAATCACAAAACTAGAACTGTCGACACATAGATACTTTTTTATTTATATCCATCTGGAAGATAAAATGGCAAGCATGTAAGTTTAATGTTTCGTTCCAAGGACACAGTCCAAGAATATCTTATCTCACGCTGGGGTTTCTCAATCATAGTACAGAGGGGAACACCCGAACACCTGTGGACCCGCCTCACTGCCTCTCACCATGACAAATGCTGCAATCTTTATTTTTAACGTATCAGTAACGGTACTGGGTACTGGCAGTACGGCCCTGGGAGCCGTACTGGATACTGGCAGACATGGCCCTGGGAGGCGTACTGGGTACTGGCAGTACGGCCCAGGGAGACGTACTGGGTACTGGCAGTGCCTCTCACCTTGACAAATGCTGCAATCTTTATTTTTAACGTATCAGTAACGGTACTGGGTACTGGTAGACACGGCCCTGGGAGCCGTACTGGGTACTGGTAGTGCCTCGTTAACTGCCAGTACAGGCAGGCGTACAGGGAACGTATCTGATTGTATATACTGGGTACTGGCAGACACGGCCCTGGGAGGCGTGCTATGTTGACCAGACCACACACTAGAAGGTGAAGGGACGACGACGTTTCGGTCCGTCCTGGACCATTCTCAAGTCAATTGTTGATAATGGGGCGTACTATTCCCACTCTCTTCGGGGATGTGTCCTGGTGGGTTAACACAAGGATTATCTTGTTAATAATTACCTGAAGAGCTAACACAAGGGATATATTTTAAAAGAAGGTAATCAGACTAGAGGTGTTATTCAAACAGGTAGAAAATTTAAAGAGGCATCAGACGAAGTCGAGCCTGCAGCGCTTGATGAAGTCAACTATTTAGTAAACATACTATTTATTATGACGTAAACACGACGGTACAGAGAACAGTTAACAAGGTCCATGAAAGGATATTTTCAGCGTACATTTTCCTGTAACAGTGTTACAGGAACATATGAATGTATTTGTTTAAGATGGGAGTTTTCCTGGGGCTGGAGATATATGGAAGTGCATCAAGGAGACTGTCAACAACGTTATAAGGATATCAAACAGAAACATGGACGAATTTCAACAAGCAAATAAAATATCAGACGATGAAGATGTTATTGTTTGTTGATGTCTCGACGACTGAAATACAACCTTCACACGATCGGATCTGTTGGTTATCTTGAGATGATTTCGGGGCTTAGTGTCCCCGCGGCCCGGTCCTCGACCAGGCCTCCACCCCCAGGAAGCATCCCGTAGCAGCTGTCTAACTGCCAGGTACCTATTTACTGCTAGGTAACAGCGGCATGAGGGTGAAAAAAACATTTTGCCCATTTGTCTCCGCCTCCACCGGGGGATCGAATCCGGAACCTCAGGACTACGAATACGAAGCGCTGTCCACCCAGCTGTCAGGCTCCCCGTGAGCAAGATCAAATATTACAAAATGAACATTTAAAGACTAAAATGTATTAGTACAAGAACTAAATATGATTATGAATCAAATCAAATGTTTATTCGAGTAAAAGTACATACATATGAGTTACAAAACATAATGTTGATTTCTAGATAGACATAGTACATACAATGAACAAATCCACAAGGACCGTGACGAGGATTCGAACCTACGTCCGAGATCATCCTAGACGCTGCCCTTATCGACTGAGCTACGACATGGTATATACAATGCCTAAAACCACTAATACGCACAGCGTTTCAGGCAACATGGTAAAGATTATACAACCTGGGATTCCAGTGAATCCACAGGAAGTCTGGCAGTATCCCCCGTGCACTGTGGTGTAGGTAATGGAGCTCTCCTCCACACACTCCCTTCAAAGGCACCAGAAAATCACATTAACGGGCGTATGATTTTGATATGAATTAAAATGGATATGAAGGGAGTGTGTGGTTACCTTAAGGTTACCGTGAGATGATTTCGGGGCTTAGCGTTCCCGCGGCCCGATCGTCGACCAGGCCTTCTCGTTGCTGGACTGGTCAACCAGGCTGTTGGACGCGCTGGCGTATGAGTCACAGCCTGATTGATCAGGGATCCTTTGGAGGGGATTGTCAAGTTCTCTCTTGAACACTGTGAGAGGTCCATCACTCACACCACAGTGCAAGGGGGGGATATGTATGTAAATCTTGGACTGGCTTCAGCTCGGGGCCTCCAGACTTCCTGTAGATTCAGTGGAATCACAGGTTAATTTTTTTAAAGTTTGCCCCGAGGGGCGAGTTTATTGGGTAGCGCCACTTCTGTGAGTAGACATACCGCCATAGCAGCATGTATAACAAGAGATATATATATATATATACACTCAATATATACACGCTCAACACTTCCCAATAGGAAGAAAACCCTCTGGGTTGTTCATCCCAGGTTGTATAACCTTTACCATGGCGTGGTATGAACTCCTGTATGATAATACCCTTGATCACTAAGCCCTCTAGAATTACTCAAGCGACTGCCGCCACCCTTGACCGCATTTGGACAATCATATCCTCTTGAATAATGAGTAATGGGACAACAGACCACTACCATACATTTCATGTAACTAGCATTATTACCACTCTTAGAAACATTGAAAATTAGCTTCAGTCAGTGGTATGATGCATCCATAAATAACTATGATGCAGCTGCTGCCGACACACTTGAAGACTTTAACTGAGTGGGGAGGAATATGGACAGAGACAAGGGGAGGAATGTAGCCAGACAAAGTGGGAAGAATAACTAGAGAAAATGGAAGCAAAGTGGTCAGAGAGAAGGGTAGAGTGACCAGAGACAAGGGCTGGATCGAGGGAGAAGCCAGTAACGCGAGGAGTGGGAGAGAGGGAGGGCCGAGGCTTGGGGAGGGTGTCTGAGGGAGAGAGGGAGGGCCGAGGCTTGGGGAGGGTGTCTGAGGGAGAGAGGGAGGGCCGAGGCTTGGGGAGGGAGTGTGGGGGTGGAGAGACACAGGGACGCCTGCACCCACCATAGTGTGTACGCTCAACACTGCAGCGACCTCATCTGCGTAATGGCGTACAGGCAACGTATCTGATTGTATATACTGGTCGCGAGGGTTACCATGCATCCATTGGCCAGGATGAAATCCATATGACATAGTCTTCAATTTCTACATTGATAATTGTATTATATATGTGCCAAACTTCAGATACAATCACGTTAAAATAATGTGTTAAAACTGTAAGTACAATTAGGGATGATAGTCACTTATCATTAATATAATTATTTTGGCGATACGTCGGTGT